ATGAATTAGACCAATTCACAACCACTATTAATTAGAAAAAAGAAAAAAAAGAGGACAAATAAAAATCTTGAAGAAGATGAATCAAACTGATTTATGTATTAAAAGACAGAATCCAAATGGCATAACGTTGGACCTCCGGTCATAATCCCTTTCGTCGCGTTGGGCAAGAAATCGACCGTCATATTGTTGCACGTAACGTCTAGCCTATGATCATAATGGTACATAACCTGCAACCTCACCTTGAAATCCAACCGAGGGAGATTAGTGTAATTATGCAACAATGTATTTACAGTTGCATTAAATAAAACAGGGACTAAATCCCGATATTTCCCGGCTTTAAAAACCGTTCCGGTCCAATTCTGCGTCACGCACATAAAAAAAACACTGATTTCTCTGATCTCTTGGTTTGTATAATCCAACATGCTCTCTGAGTCGTCAATCGAAAACCCTAAATTCCACTCCGATGCAGTTATTACGACAGCATGGGAAGAATCATTGGATCCGAGGTTGTCGAATAAAGAAACCGAAACGGATTCCACATTGAATTTGGGATATTCGCTCTTCATGTTTGAGATTAGGAGAAAAAGTAATATAATAATATTAAAGCCAAGTAACCCGCAACAGATTTCAGGCCCTAAATCATTGTCGGTGTGCGAGCAACAACGCCGCCGTTCAGGAGCTGGTGGCTGTATTTCAGCGGCGGCGGCGGCGGGGTGGACTTTTGCCGCCGAGGGCAGACCGAAGCGTACTCCGTAGGGTTTTGGTTGACTCATCGTAGCGTAGGGGTTTGTTTGTTTTGTTTACGACAAAACTTGGCAGCGTAAGTTTGTGTCAGTATATATATATAAGGAATTTAGATTTACGAATCATAACGAATATAGGATTAGGAAAATAGTATCCCTATCCATTCCCACTTATTATTTCGAAGCATATCAAAATAATATTTATTTGTACAAAAATCAAATTTCGATTTAATTTTTTGGACTTTAAGTTGGACAAATTGCTTATGTGGATAGAGAAATATTTAATGGGGCAATTTGCTATAGGTCCTCTTGTAGTAGATTTTATGTGTATAAGTCCAACCAATAAATTTTTATTTTTATTAAATTTATTGTTTTTGTGTCAAAAATACCCC